GTGGGTGTGGGTGTGGCCAGGGGACCAATCCAGAGGGAGTCTGAGTGGGTGTGGGTGTGGCCAGGGGACCAATCCAGAGGGAGTCTGAGTGGGTGGGTGTGGCCAGGGGACCAATCCAGGGGGGAGTCTGAGTGGGTGTGGGTGTGGCAGGGCAAATCCAAGGGAAGTCTGAGTGGGTGGGGGTGTGGCCGGGGGAAGTCTGAGTGGGTGGGGGTGTGGCGGGACCAATCCAGGATGACTCGCTGTATGCCTGCGCAGGTGGGTGCGGGAACGCGGGGGTGAGAGGTTGCGGCTTTATCCAGCCCATGGGGCCCTCTGCTGTAGCGAGCGTGACCAGAAGACTGACCCAGCTCTCCTGCAGGCGCTGCCTGGGTCCACTGCCGCCCACACACCCTGATGTTTGACTACAGTAGAAGACAGCAGAGGCCTGCAGGTGAGCGGCTCGGCAGGGCTGTGGGGATGCCCCAAGATCCTGACCTGGCCTCTAGCCTCAAAGACCATCAGGTGGGAGGGACCTGCAGGACGGAGCCCGAGCTGGTCCGGGAGCCCACTGGTGAATGCTTGCTGCCAGTCTTCTCATAGCCAAACAAACCGAGGCCTGTGGTGAGGAGCCAGGAACCAGCACGTGGGCCCTAAAGGGTGGGCAGAGACTCTGGGGATGCATCCCAGGCAAGGATGGCGGGAGTCAAGGGGGACATGAGGACCCCTAGGCAGCAGGGGGTGTTGGCAGCCCGAGGTGCAGGTGATGGAAACTGCAGGGGCAGGCTGAGTAGACAAGGATGTGGCAGTTGGGGGCCAAGATAACTTGCTGTGTGAGGGGACCTGGCCAGGACACAGCTATGAGACAAGTGGGTGAGACTCCAAGGGCCCCACAAGGTCAGTGTGTCTATGAGAGGCTGCCTGCCCTGGCTGGAGATTTCAGCTGGACTGGAGGAGTAGCCATGTTCCCTTCAGGTGAAGGCAAAGGAGGCAATGTGGGCTTCAGGCCCTGCTGGATCCAGGTGCTAGAGAATGCTATGGGCCCTGCCCTCCAGCTCTCCATTCTCCTCATCTGGCTGACTTCCCCCACTGGCCCTTCCCTGAATGTTCCGGCCTCTGAGTGCCTATGCTTGGGTCTCCTGCCATCCTCAGCAGCAGACGGGTTGGTCTACCCACCTAATGACCACTGGCCTTGGGGCTCGGAGGCTCCAGGAGGCACAGAGAGCTTTCCCGTGGCTTGTGTGGGGCCAGCCTGGGGATGGGTCGAGGTCCCACTCTTACCACACTTAGGGGCAGGAGATACAGCAAGTGAACCTTGGTTTAAGATGCCTCCCCCAGCCCACCTCCACCAACAGCAGCCCACACACCTGGGGAGGAGTTAGCAGTGCCCTCCAAGGTGTGTGGATGGCCTGGCTGTGGGGCTCAGCTCATCCAGGTCTGCCACAAGCGGGGCAGAACGTGATGGTCAGACCAGCTGACCCCAGTCAGAGGATCCCAGTTAGGATGTCACTTGGGACAATGTCAGTCAAGGCATCCTAGTAAGGACCCCCTGTGGCCAGGGCTCCATAGAGGAGTCCTAGGACTGGGCTCTGTGGTCAGGGTACGTGGACAGGGCAGGTTGGGCCCAGGCAGGGAGGGTTTGTTGGGGTTTGGGGAGGGCAAGTTAGACTCTCAAGGGTTACGGGTGTTACCCGCTGCCTTTCCACACAGGTTGGACTTAAATGGAGCCGGCCCAGGTCAGAGCCCAGGGGCCTCAGCCCAGCCTGGGCAGCTTCCGGGTGCAGGAGCTGAGCTGGCCAGGCCTCCACAACCCCTGCCCACAGAGCAAGGGTTCCGGCAGCCGAGGGGCCGGCCACAGGGAGAGACCAATGGAGGAATACCTGTCTCCCAGCCGGCTGGTGAGTGGAGGACGTTTGGGGGCAGAACCTGAGTGGACTCCACAGTGTCCCGGGTTCCAGAGACCCTGCGGATCCAGAGCGAGGGACTGGCTAGCTGCTGACGTGGGAGATGGTGGCAGCCCACAGCATGGGGCTGGTTAGGGAAGTGTGACACATGGTGGCTGGGGACTCCTTGTTCAGAAGACCAGAGCATAGAAGGCGGCAGGCCTGTGTCCTGTTGGATCTGGGAAGAGGACACAGGAGATGCTGCACTGGGCAGGAGGGACCTCCGATCTGGGATGACGTGGCCCCCACCGGGCAGCATGGGAAGACCTCTGGCTCTAGTGTTCAGTCACCAGGGCTTGGGACCAATTGAACCATCACTGTCACCTTGTGGTGCTCAGCACACCTACCCTCTGTCCCAGCCATCTCCTCAGTCCAGTGAAGCCCCCTCCAACAGGCCTGCGGGACTGTCCAGGGGCAGTGTCCACTCAAACCATCCATCTCTGCACCTGCCCTTGCTTGGGCACGGAGTGTCAGAGGGCTGATTGGTGTCAGTCAGCAGTGGCCACCCAGGGCTGAGGAACAACTGCCCAAATTCCCAGGTGGTTTCCCAGGATGTGGGTCTCAAGCTGAAGGGGCAGCAGCCACCCAGAGCCACTCTGCTGTGGTGGACAGCTGGACCCGGGAAGCTAGGCACACCCTTGCTCACTCTCTCCCTCTGACAATCCCGTCCAAGCAGGATGGTAGCCAGTCCCAACACTGACGTGCTCCCTGCTGGCAGGGGTGCCCTGGCTCCGGGGGAGTAAAGAGTCGCCCAAGTCTCCTCTAATCACATGGTTCTGTGGGCTGATATTTGGGAATCACACACCCAGCCCCCTGAAGAGCCTTTCCAGGAGACCATCCGAAGTAAAAAGGCCAGATACCACACACACATGGCTCCAGCAGTGGGAGGACCTCGGTGAGGGAGGAGTCTGCCAGGTGGCCACTGTCCCACAGGGTGGACACTGCTGGTCAGCATTCCTCGATTAGATCCTGTCTCAGTCTCTTGGGGGTGTCTGCGGGGTTGGGGGGCTTCTCCCACAGTTCTGGAGTCTGGGAGTGTCTAATGAGGATCTGAGGGAGACTACTCTTTGCCTCTGTCCTGGCTTCTGGTGGCCCCTGGTGATCATTGGCTTTCCAGTGCAGTGTCACATGGTGTCCTTCTTCAGTCTCCCTGACTCTGCCATTTTCTCTCTTTTACAAGGACACGACTCAGGTGGAATTAGGACCCACCCGATTCCTATGTGGTTCTCATGTTAACCTATCTTGTGATATCTGCAAAGACCTTATTTCCAAACCAGGTCATATTTCACAGGTACCAAATGCTTTAGAGTCCCGGCGTGACACTGTAGGATCAGCACTGGACCACAAGGTCGGTGGTTCCAACTCACCAGCTGCTCCTCCCAAACCTTGTACTGGGTCGCTATGAGTCGGAACCACCTCGACAGTACCTAACAACAACAACACTTTATCATCCTGTGACTTTCCAGCGCCTATATGGTCACCTCAGACCCCACCAGCCCGTCCTTACACACAGCCCACGCACTCACACACCACACACGTACACACGTGCATGTTCACATGTGGATGTGTGTGTACAACACCGACATGTACGCCCATATGTACACACGTGTGTGTGTGCACAAGCATGTGTAGTTTAGAATTTTTCACAGTAACTCCTGGTACCTCGTGGGATCCCACCTTCAGTATGAGTCAGCCATCACTGCATTGTCGATATAGAGGAACCTCACAACACGCCGTGGCTTACGGCATGGGCATGTTCTCTTCATGGGGCATAGAGGGCAGCCACCCAGGGCATCAGACTCTGCTGGGCTGCTCCGTGGGTCTCCTCTGGACACTGTCACCTCTCGGGGCTCTTCTCTCATGATGACTCCACCAGCCACGCACGTACAACCTCTCTGCTCGTGGCACATCCACTCCAAGTCCACTGGCCAGTGCACCCGCACAGCCAAGCTCAGCAGAGCGGCTGGGACGTACACGTCGGCTATGCCAAGCATGCCAGCCGAGCCCCACAGCCCAGGCCTGTGTGTAGCTGGGAGAGGGGACGGCCAGGCCCCCAGCCGGTACCCCAGCTGAGTGCCCATTGGTTTCTGCAGCAGGCTCTGGCCCAGGTGGACGACCTGCGTGTGGTCAGCGTGTTGGAGATGTGTGTGGACAGTCACAAGAACAGCCTGGGGAACTTCGGTGAGAACATGCCCACCACCCCAGCCCCTCAGGGTCAGTCATGTCTGCGAGATGAGGGACTGTTCCGGTTACAGGGAGGTCTGTGTGTGAGGAGGGACCATTCCGGTTACAGGGAGGTCTGTGTGTCAGGCACAGGCAGAGGCCTGAGCCTGCATCCGAGTTCCAGACCACCTCCCAGAAAGGACACGACACTGGGCACTCCACACCCATGCCGACACTGCACCTTAGTGGAGCTTAACCGAGCGCCAACTAGAGCCAGCATCTCGTTGAAACTTAGTCTGCAATCACTTTGAACTTACAGAAAAGTTGCAAAAACAACACAAAACCTTCTCAGATACCCTCCGCCGGGTCCCCCTTGTCCATGCATTACCTCATTTGCTTTGTCGTTCTCTCCCACTCTCAGATCTGCACACACACACACACACACACTCACAGTTAGCTGGTGATAACCCTGGCACACTGCAGACACACCTGGACACTCGGTGTGTGTCTCCTGAGAACAGGGACACTGCACAGAGCAGAGACGTGTTAGAACGTTAGCGTCGATGCCCACCTCTTACCTGTTTGCAGATCTTCTATTGTGCCAGCTGTCCCAACATCATCCTGTAGGGAAGAGGGTCCCCAGGCATCTCAGTTCCCTAACTGGACACTGCTGCGCTGCACCCCTGTCCACACTTGGCCATGGGCTCTGGGATCTTGGGGTTCAGCATCTACCCACCCCCCAGAGCTCAAGGACACTGAGTCACACAGGAAAGTCATAGAGGACAAGAAGCTGGTACCTTGAGCTGGTTCTGAAGGACCATGAGCCATGCTGGTCACATGGATACTCTGCGGGTGGGGGCGCTGGTCCAGGTACCCTGGAATGGAGTGGAGGGGACTTGGGTGTGCCTTCTTCACCCTGCCCTGCACCCCTTCCTTGGGCTGGGTTGCAGAGGTGGGGACTCTGAGGGTGCCAGGACCCAGGGTGGTGGAGGAGGCTGCAATCCTGTCCCCTGCGTTGGTTTGCTGGGCCTGGCCCCTCCTTAACCGGCCAGAGGACAAGGTATGAAAAAGAGAACAGAGAGGGGACCAGGGACCCAATCACCGACTTTGTCTTTCTGTGGTCCCAGGAGTACACCTGCCCAACCTGAGCCAATTGAAGTTGAACGGCAGCCGCCTGGCATCCTTGAGGTGAGCATCTCACCTGGGGGTCCCTGGGGAGGGGTCCTGCAGGACAGTAAGTTGAATGCCCAGTGAGGGATGAGAGGAGGGTCTACTGCCCCTGGGAGCCCCCCACTCCCTGCCTGGCCTGACCCTGACTGTCACCCCCTTCCTGGGTGGCTTGCGGAGGCATCTAGGATGTCCCCCCAGTGCAGCCTGGCCTGGCCTGGCCTCCGATGTGATCTGCCACCTCTAGCGCCTGTGTGACGTTCAGAGGGGAGCTTGGGCGCTGAGGCCATCCACCGTTCCTCTAGAGAGCTCTCGTTAGTCAGCGCCATCCATCACGCAGAGCCAAAGGTCTCCAAGGATCCCCGTGAGCTCCAGGCAGAGATGGCCCTACATCCAGAGCCTGAGGGGTCTCTTGGATAGTGACCCAGCCTGATCAAGGCCTCAGTACAGAGGTAGTTGGGGATGGCACACTGTGTCCCCCACCCCATGCCCCGAAAGAATAGCCGATGCACAAGGAGGATGCTACCTACCAGGATCACTGTCCGCTGAGCCCAGCCCCAGCCAGAACCTTCCTGCCGAACACAGGCCAGACCTCAGGCCCCGAGGAAACCTGTGTCTCCCAGAACAGGAACAGGACACTTGCCAAGGCCCCAGAAGCCTGCACTAGAGTGTTTTAATTACCCACTTGCAATCCACTTCATCGGGCTGGCAAGAGCAGAGCTTTAATGGCACCAGACTTTACTGTCAGTATTTGAGCAGTGTGGGCTTCCTAGAAACACTGTGGGCTTCACAGCCAAGGCCAGGGCAGAGAGAGTCCAGGGAAAATTCTCAAAATGTTTCCAGACGTTTTGACTGGGCTTCAAATCCCTGTGCCCAGTGGTATCCAGGTAAGGCGATAAAGATACCCATTGCGCAATCTCTCTTTAAACCCGTTCTTCATTTTCTCTGTGTATTCCACCAAATAAGCGTCGGACAGAATTGAACAGAATGCAGGAAGAGATGGAAATGTAAGGGAAGATAATTGACCCGCAATGGGCAGCCTCAGAGGTAGAGAGAAAACACAGTTTGAAAATGGAAACAGAATTGGAAGTAGATCAAGATGTGGGAAATGGGCTTCCTAGGAAAGGGTCTTCCATGGATGATTAAATGCTACTTTAACAGAGATATTCATACTTACTTTAGCTTTTAACACAGAGGACAGTTTCCACTGTTGAGGCTGACAATTTAGCTCAAGGAACACTAAAAGCGTTGTCAGATATGAAATTAAATAAATCACGAAAATGATGACAGAGAAATGGAAGGCTTCATACAATTGAGAACAATGAAAGCCCACTTGAAATAAAATTCAACAACACATTAAATCCAAGGGAAATGATTGCATCACAGACAGTGTGAACATGTCTCTGTTCTTTGGTAGCAACCGTGAAAAAATGCCGTGAGCATTTGAACCCTTTCGATTATGGGACCTTGAAACTCGGCCAGGTGATGTCAGCAAACCCCATGGCTTGAAGGTGGACAAAAATCAATAAATGGAAATGATTTAATGAAGTGTGACAGACGACTAAGCGGACATGGTAACTTAGCTGATTATAAAGGAGATTTTAAATGTACTCATATTAGGGTCTCAGACAGTGTTGTAAGGACTGGAAAATCACTGAAACTTAGTGGTTGTAATTCATCAGTAGCTGAGCGGGAATTCATGAAACCAGCATTGATTGAGGACCACGTTCTGTTAAACAGGACACAGGACTGGAATGACTGGCCAGTCATTGAGTAATGGAAAGTGGTATTGGAAAGGTGGGCCTTGGACCTTCGCTTCAGCCAGGGGTCGGCCACCAGTAGCGCTTCCTTAGAACTGTTCTTGTTAGGTACCCTCAAGTCCTCTCTGACTCATAGCGCCCGACCTGTGCCCAGCAGAGCCGTCCTCACGGTGGTTACACCTGAGCGTATTGCTGCTGCTACTGTGCCAATCCGTTTTGTTGGGGGTCTTCTTATTTTTTACTGACCCTTCACTTCACCAAGCATGATATCCTTCTCCAGGGACTAGTCCCTCCTGATAACATGTCCAAAATACAAGGGACAAAGTCTTGCCCTTCTGTCTTCTAAAGAGCACTGTGGCTGTATTTCTTTCAATACAGATTTGTTTTTCTGACAGTCCATGGTACTTTAAATATTCTTCTCTAACACCATAACTCAAATGCATCAATTCTTCTACAGTCTTTTATTCGTTGTCCAACTTGCACATACATATGAGTCTATTGGAAATACCATGGCTTGGGTCAGGCTTGCCTTAGTCCTCAAACTGGTATCTGTTCTGCACACTTTGAAGAGGTCTTGTGCAGCAGATTTGCGTAATGCCATACATTGTTTGATTTCTTGACTGCTGCTTCCGTAAGTGTTGATTGTGGATCCAAGCAACATGAAGTCTTTGACAACTTCAATCTTTTCTCCATTTATCATGATGTTATTTATTGGTCAGTTGTGAGGATTTTTGTTTTCTTCGCGTAGTGGTTACGACTCGGGCTGTGAACCGCAAGGTCAGCAGTTCGAAACTACCAGCTGCTCCGCGGGAGAAAGATGAGGCTTTCTACTCCCGTAAAGATTTACACCCTCGGAAACCCTGTACAGGGTCGCTATGGGTCGGTTCCGACTCCACGGCACATAACAACAACAATATATTGAGGTGAAATCCATACTGAAAGCTGTGATCTTTGAACTTCATCAGTAAGTACTTTAAGTCCTCCTCACTTTCAGCAAGCAAGGTTGCATCGTCTGCATAGTGCATGTTGTTCATGAGTCTTCCTCCAATCCTGATGCTACGTTCTTCCTCATATAATCCAGTTTCTCAATTATTTGCTGAGCACACAAATTGAATAAGTATGCTGACAGGATAAAACCTTGGTGCACATCTACCTGATTTTAAACCATTCACTGTCCCCTTGTTCTGTTCGAACAACTGCCTCTTGGTCTATGTATAGATTCCTCATGAGCACCATTAAGTGTTCTGGTATACCCACTTTTGCAATGTTATCCATATCTTGTCGAGATCCACACAGTCAAAAGTCTTTGCATAGTCATTAAAGCAGAAGTAAACATCTTTCTGGTATTTTCTGCTTTCAGCCAAAATACATCTGACATCAGCAATGATATCTCTAGCTGCATGTCCTCATCTGAATCCAGCTTGAATTTCTGACAGTTCCTTGTCAATGTACTGTTGTAGCCAGTTTTTAATAATCTCCAGCAAAATTTTACATGCATGTGGTACTAATGATATTGTTTGATGATGTCTGAATTCCATTAGGTCACCCCTCTTTGGAATGGGCACAAATATGAATCTCTCCCAATTGGTTGGCCAGAATGCTGTCTTCCAAATTTCCTGGCATAGATGGGTGAGCGCTTCCAGTGCTGCATCAGTTTGCTGAAGGATTTCCGTTTGTAGTCCCTCAATTCCTGGAGCCTTGTTTTTAGCCATTGCCTTCAGTGCAGCTTGGACCTCTTCCTTCTGTACCTATGGTTCTTGATTATATCTTACCTCTTGAAATGGCTGAACATTGGCCATTTCTTTTGGGTGCAGTAATTCTGTGTATTTCTTCCATCTTCTTTTTTTTTAAGTTTTTATTGTGAATTGAGTGATAGTTTACATGGGAGAACATCAGCTTTACACTCATTCTATCGTATTTCGTTTCATTGCAATGACTACAATCCTCTCCATGCATCACCGTTCAACAGTATTTGCTTCTATTCCCTTGGTTTGTTGGTTTGTCTATTTTATAATGTACAGCAAAACACTCAGAAATATGCAATCATTCAAACACCCAAAGGGAATACCCTGCAAGCCTGTCCCCTGGCCACCAGCACACAGCCCCTCTCCCTCCATGAGTCTACAGTCCCCTCTCAGCTGCTCCATCTCTCCACATCATCATCTCTGCCTCCATCTCTGGCATCGCTACTTCTCTGAATAGGGCCCTACATCTGTTCCCACTCTTCTCCCTTTATGGTCCCAGAGTTCTCCACTCCTGGACTGCAAGATCAACCACCTCCCCTCTTTTTGCTACAAAATGTCTACCTTTACAGTTGCTACAATCGCAATCAGTCATGATAACAATTACTCACTATTGAACCACAAGAGTCTTATCCCCATCTCCTTTCACTAGCCCAATCTAGATAGGTTGAAAACCACTCAGTGGAGATTCTGCCTTCCCCCACACCCTCTGAAACTAAACTCACTCTTGAAAACTTGTAAGCCAGTCACTTCATGCCTTTATAGCCCTCCCATTTTAGTTAGCCAATGTCTAAGTTGCCCATCCCTGTCAACCCTGTATACAAAGGGGGTGGGAATGATCTTTGCTGTGAAGATTCTTCCTTCTTGGTTGATATTTTAAGCTACTACATCCATAAGTAAGGAGCTCTGTTAGCATAGTGGTTACGAATCAGGTTGCTAATCTCATGGTCAGCAGTTCGAAACTACCAGCTGTTCTGTGGGAGAAAGATGAGTCTGTAAAGATTTACAGCCTCGGAAACCTATGCAGAGTTGCTATGAGTCGGAACCGACTCCATGGCATATAACAACAACATCCATAAGTATAGGTCAAGTTCATCAAATTGTCATGAATTATACTTATTTTCTTTATCAAAAAAAATTTTTTTTCTTCCCTTTTCTTTTTTCCTCTAGTCAAGTTCTGATCATCCAGCCATTGAAGCTAGATCAAATGGGTACTATCTGCAAGTATGGGCATTCTTGCAGACAGTACCCTCACTTCATATCAGCTGGATGCTTCACTCTCCACATTAGCCTTCTGTGGCTATGTCCTTGTCCAGGGGCTCAGGAGTCCCCAGGTCTCACCATACTCCAGGTTGATGGGAGTCTATTGAACGTGGTCGGACTCAGCCCACATCTTCATTGCTGCTTTCCCCCCACTTCCCCTCATCAGTAGACCAGTGTGGTCACCAGCAAGATTACATGCCTGCTCATGTATTCCCTTTGAGTTTCAATCTTGGAAGGGGGTTTGCCCTGAAGGGAC